ACCACCTCCTGGAGCAGTCGGCGGACATGGCGACGGCGCTGCTGGCGGGCGAGAAGCTGCGGGAACTGATCCTGCCCGGCGCCCAGGACGACAAGGCGGGTGCGCTGGCCGCGCTCTTGCTGCAGCTGAAGCTTGAGCTGCCGTTCGACCGCGTGGTCACCATCGGCACGGTGCTCGTCCCGATCCTGCTGGTCACGCTGGTCTTCACCAAGAACTTCGCAGGTGAGGCGGGGGGTGGGCGGCCGTCCGCAGGTGTTCCTGCCGCTTCCCGTGTCCCCGCTCGGCCAGCCGTGCTGTCCACTCCGCGGCCTTTGCGTGCCCTGCCGCGCCCGGCCTGGCCTGTGGACCACAGACCGCGCTCCAAGGGTCTCCCAACCAGGTCCCTCCCTGCCTCGCTGTTGCTTACCCCTCAGATCCCTCTCCTCGGCCTTTGGGGGACCAAGAACCCTGGACCTTAGGGCACATGAGACCCTCCCGGAGAAGGAGGGCGGCGGTGAGCAGGGCTGAGAGAACAGCGCCTGTTGAGGGCCAGAGAAGGGCGTGACAGGTGAGGCTGGGCAGGGACCTTGACTGATGGACACAGAGACCGTCCGTGGAGGTGCCCAGGCTGGGGGCACAGAAGCTATGGAATGGGCGTGTGCAGAGAGAGTAAGGCACAGATGCCGGGGGGCAGGCGGTGCATGGAGCAGGTTGGAGAGGACTGGGACAAAGTAGGGGCCAAGGAGGCCACTTAGAAGGCAGGGAGGCCCGCGGTGGGCTCAGGCACTGATGTGCTCACAGCAGCTCCAGGAAGAGCTCAGGCCACGGGATCAAAGGCGTGGGTTCTAGAGGGTGCTGATGGAGGCGAGACCCCATCTGTGCTCAAGCAGGAGGGGATTCCACCCAGAAACCTCCCAGAACTTTGTGATCCAATCATTGGCCTCCTGGGAATGGACCCCAGGTGGAGGGACCCTGTGCCTGCTGCCCTGGGAACACTGGTGCCAGACTTGCAGACACACATGCTCACAAGACTGAAGGCTCAGTCCACCCACACACCTGGCTGTGAATGAGGGAAATACGGAAATGAGCTGAGGTCCTTCCCTCGTCCCCTCATGTGCTCAGGCAAACACAGTAAGCGCTCAGATATGACTGCAGACCCACTCAGTGTGCCTCTGGGAAGCCAAGTCATGGCACTCAGATCTGGGGTGTGGACCCATGCAGTGGGGCATCATGGGTGCTCAGATAAAGGGTGCACACCTAGCACACACACACAGTCACGTGGGCTTGGTCCAGACCCATCTGGTGACACACATGTACATACTGAGGCATCATGGGTGATCAGATACGGGGTGTGGACCCGCTTGGTGTCACAGATGTGTGCAGTGGGCCATTGAGTCATGGGTGTTAATTACACAGGTGGTCACAGATGCGCACAGTGAGGCTTCGAGTCATGGGTGTTAATGACACAGGTGGTCACAGATGCGTGCAGTGAGGCGTCGAGCCATGGGTGCTAAGACATGGGGTGGGTGATCACGGATGCGCACAGTGGGGCGTCGAGTCATGGGTGTTAATGACACAGGTGGTCACAGATGCGCACATTGGGGTGTCGAGTCATGGGTGCTAAG